GAAAGTGCCACGCCTGCTGTGCCTTACCGACTGGTGCGGATAGGGCTCCCGCCCCCTGCGCACCCTCTATGGTGTCGAGAAGGTGCAACACCTGCCACGCTCTCCGTGTGGTGTGGTGTGGTGTGGCGTGGTGTGATGTGATGTGATGTGCGTGTATCTCCTGATGTGATGTGATGTGACGGCTGGTGTGGTTTGGTATGGTATGGTGTGGTGTGGTGTGGTGTGGTGTGGTGGGGTGGGGTGGGGTGGGGTGGGGTGTGGTGTGGTGGTGTGGTGCGGTGCGGTGCGGTGCGGTGTGGTGTGGTGTGGTGTGGTGTGGTGTGGTGTAGTATGGTGATGTGTGGTGTGGTGTGACGTGGCGTGGTGTGGTGTGGTGTGATGTGGTGTGGTGTGGTGTGTGTACGAGCGAAAAGGAGGAGGTGGAAGTGAACGCGGGTGTGACGCGGGTGTAGAGAAAATCGGAGCCCCACTTAGAATGTAGGGGAAAACAGTTTTACACCTGTCCTTCGTGTCGCCGTCGGATTTGGAGCAACCGCCACCGCCAGCCGCTTCATTTCGGCACACCGCTCTCGAGGATCGTGGGCCTGGCCCCCGACGCGCGATTGCGGCGCACACCTCACTAGGATCGTGGCCCTGGTCCAACTGGGAGCGCTGCCGAGGGCCCACCGACGTCCAATTTCGGCACGTCGCTCATGAGGATCGTGTCCTGGCCCAACTGGGAGAGCTGCCGACGGCCCACCGACGAGCAATATGGGCACACCCCTCACACGGATCGTAGAAGTCGCCACATTGGGATCGCCGCCCGACGCTGAATTTCGGCACGCGTCTCACATGGATCGTGGCCCTGGCCCATGTGGGAACGCTGCCGACGGCCCACCGACGCCCAATGCCGGAACACCCCTCACGAGGATCGTGGCCCTCTGGTCCGATTGGGGGCGCTGCCGAGGGCCCACCGACGCGCAATTTCGCACACCCCTCACAAGGATCGCGACCCTGGCCGCATTTGAAACCCGTCGTTGTTTTGACAAGCCGGGACTATTGGTCCCAGTTCGTGTCTTGTTCTAGTGTTTGCATCGACCTTGCATTTCGGGGCGTTGCGCCGTGGCCTGCAAACGGCAAGAAGTCGCGGGGGGTATTGACGAGGTCACCTTTACCTTGCGGCGCCAGAAAAGTTCGCGGAATGTCCCCTGCCAGGGTCGGGAAACATGGAGAGAGTAAGATGAGATTTCGGGGCGATTTGGGGATCGGGTTTTCGTAAGGACGTCGTTCCGGTTTTCTTCGGGAGCGGTTTTCCCAGGACAAGCATGCTGGCGTGCAGGGGGAGGAGAGGTGCGATGATGAGGGCATGGCGGGGGTGAGGAAGGGGATGGGGTTGAGGATGCGGAAAGGGGGATGTTTTCATACAGACGTCGTTCTGGTTGTATTCGGCCGCGATTTACCCAGGGCAATCATGATGACGTAGGAGGGTAACGTGGGTGCGATGCTGGGGGCATGACGGGGATGAGGATGGGATGGGGTTCAGGATGCGGATCGGTGGATTGGTTTTCATGGGGACGTCGTTCTGGTTTCATTCGGGCAGGCGTGCTTACCCAGAAGGGAATGAAGGGTGCGATGATGAGGGCATGGAGGGGATTGGGATGTGGATGGGCTCAGGATGCGGTCTGGGGGTGGTGGTTTTCATAAGGGCGTCGGTCTGGTTCAATTCGGGGGCGGCTTCTCCAGGGCAGACATTCTGAGGTAGAGGGGAGGGAGGAGGTGCGATGCTGAGGGCGTGAAGAGCATGAGGATGGGCACGGGTTTAAGGACGTGGATGAAGACGATGGGGCCTGTGTGTGTGGGGGGTCAGGGGAAGGAGGCAAGAGTGGGAGGAGGATGGAGGCAGGGAAAATATCAGAAGGGGGGTCGGAGGATGAGGCAGGGATGGAGAGAGAGGGAGAGAGAGAGAGAGAGAGACAGAACGAGCGTGACAGATGATGTGTCGCCGAGGGGGATGGGTTTTCGTAGGGACGCGGTTCTGGTTTTATTCTGGCGCGTTTTTTTTCTGGGCGAGCTTGCTGACGTAGATGGGAAGGAGGGGTGCGATGATGAGGGCATGGAGGGGATAATGATGGGGATGGGGTTCACGATGCGGGTCGGGGTAGTAGTTTTCATTCGTGCGTCGGTCTGGTTTAATTCGGGGGCGGCTTCTCCATGGCAGACGTTTTGTCGTACAGGAGAAGAAGAGGTGCGATGATGAGGGCGCGCAGGGGATGAGGAACAAGGTAGGGATTGATGAAGCGCATGAAGACGAGGGCCAGCGGGGGGAGGGGGAGATTCAGGATGGGAGGGGGAGGAGGATGGGAAAAGAAGTCAAAGGTGGGCCCGAGGCGGCCACACGACGCCCCAATACCAACGTAATACGGCGCAGTCAGCTCCAACAGGCTCCAAGATTTCCCCAGCATGCCCCAGGAGGCCTTAAGGATATTCGCAGTGACCTCCGAAATGGCCTGCAGCGAGTTCTGCTCGCATCCTCTCCCCCTCCTCTTTCCTTCTCCCCCCCCTCCTCCGTGCCGGTTCGTCGTCTTCATCCGCATCTTAAGCCCCATCCCTATCTTCGCCCCTTCCCGCCATCATTATCGCACCTTCCCTTTCCTTCTATATCGCAATGTTTGCCTTGGAAAACCGCCCCCGAATTCGACCAGACCGACGCCCCTGTGGAAGCCGCGCCCCCGATCTGCATCTTAGGCCTCACCCCGATCATGATCCCCTCCAGGCCCTCGTCATCGCACCCTCATTACCCTCTACGTCAGCAGGCCTGCCCCAGCAAAAAAACACCCCAATACAACCAGAACGACGTCCTCATGAAAATCAGTTTCCCTCGCTGAAATCTCATATGTAAATCTCTCCCTCCCTCCTCCTCCTCCTCCAGTTCGGTTCCAACCGACTCGGTTTTCTCTTCTAAGCTGGTTTTAGCCCACCAGTTCGGTTCGAATTTGCCGTTCTGGTTCCGACCGGTTCGGTTTGGGCTCCAGTCGGTCTGGTGCCGCCGGTCCATGGTTACCGGTTCGGTTCAGAGCCACCCGGCGTTTATTTGTTGTGTTTAGCGCAGAGTTTTCGCAGGGTCGGTGCACTCATATTGTTGGCATTTGTCTTCGTGCAGCACTTCGAAGCGTCTGCTAGGTGCGCAACATATCAGAGATAAGAGGGCGCCCGCCAGGAAGTGGTGCCTCCTTCGGCAACTTCTTCAGTGTCTAGAAGGCTTGTTGTCGACCACATGCTTGCGCCTTACTTGTGTCAGTGATGCTATCGCTGCAGTCGCTGCTGGTCAGCTTCCTAAGCTGCCGCATTTGTTTCTTTTCCTAATCAAGAGACTTCCGCCACTCGCCGATTCCCAGAGGAGGAAATGTGAAGTTTCCGATCTTGTATGCGTTGTTTGCCGTGTCCTTTGGTGTTGTCTGAGTGTAATTGTTTGTGGTTTGTCTGCCTCTTCCGTGTTTGTTGCGGGGCCCCTTGGGGTCGTCGCCTCGGGGGCGGTCTCTCGGGATCGTTTTTAGGGCTCCTGGGTGCGTTCTGGGGCCCGCGGAGGGCTTCTCGGGGGTCTCTTGGGGGCACCTTGGGGAAGTGTTGGGCGTCTTGGGGGCCATCTTGTGGGGGATGGCTCCCAGGGCCAGTGCGAGTTCCCCCCTTCGGCCTCCCCGGCCCCTCTGATGCTCTTGGGGGCCTTTTTGGCCGCTTCGGGCAGTCTCGGGGCCTCGTGGGTTCTGTTTGGCTGTCTTGGGCTAATCTTGGGGGGCTTCTCGGGCCGTCTCGGGGGTCAGACCTTTTCCAATGGCAGGAACGCGAATATCATCCCAAGCCTCAGGAAACACCGCTCTTTGCCTCTTGAGGCCGTCTTGTGGGTTCTCTTGGGCCCTGCTTGGGTTTTTTTCAAGGCTTCTTCGACCGTCCTGAGGCCATCTCGAATATTCTGGAGACGTTTCTGGCGCGTCTCTAGGCCTCTTGGATGGGGTCGGAATAGATGGGGTCGGAGGATCGCGCCGCATCGCCGATGCATCGGCGATGCGGCTCGATGCGGAGCCCGATTTGCTTCACGCCGACGTTGCCGATGCACCGCCGACGTCGACGATGCATCGCTGGTGCATCGCCGATGCATCGCCGATGCATCGCCGATGTATCGGCGATGCGGCGTGATCCTCCGACCCCATCTATTCCAACCCCATCTAGGAGGCCTCTAGCGTTGAAACCCCTCATGAACCATCTTAGAAGGCATCTTCAGCATCTCCGAGGCCGCGGAGGGTGGACATTGGAGGCTCCGAGGGCCAAAGAGGTGCGCCGGGTGCGTTGGGGCAGCTCGCACTGTTAGACATCGATGTGCGTGCTTAGAGTAGCAGGCGCACAGTGGACTCGCGTGCAAAGCCTCAAGTGGCTTGAGAGTCAACGCTTGAAACTGTGAACCTCGCTTGAAATGGTATGGTTTTAAAATGTTGCTTGTAGGGCAGGGTCGCCAATCTGACATGTATTTCATGAGTAGGCATGGTTTCGATGGCGAAGCTCTGTATCAATGGAATAATCGTGAACGATACGACGCGTCGAGGAACCTTGCAAGGTTATTGCATTCTTCCACGGGGCATTCGTACAACAGTCATTGTTGGCTCAGCTCACGCGCCCGAGGGCGATGAGGAGAGGGGAGGGAGGAGGGTGAGGGCGAGGATGACGAGGGGGAGGAGGGAGGAGGTGGAGGAGGTCGAGGAGGAGGCGGAGGAGGACGAGGAGGGTGTGGAGCGTGGGGTAAAGATGAGCACTGGGGACGAGGAGGAGGAAGAGGAGGAGGAGGAGGAGGTGGATGAGGATGATGATGATGCTGATGCTGATGCTGCTGCTGCTGCTGCTGATGATGATGATGATGATGATGATGATGATGATGATGATGATGATGATGATGACGCGGATGATTATGATTATGATTATGATGATGAGGATGCTGCTGATGATGATGCTGATGATGATACTACTGATGATGATGATGCTGCTGCTGGTGATGATGATGATAATGATGATGATGATGATGATGATGATGCTGATGATGATGATGATGATGATGATGATGATGATGATGATGATGATGATGCTGATGCTGCTGATGATGATGATGATGATGATGATGATGATCATGGTGATGATGATGATGATGATGATGATGATGATGATGATGATGATGATGATGATGATGATGATGATGATGATGATGATGATGAGGAGGAGGAGGAGGAGGAGGAGGTGTTAGGACATGGCCGTGCGACAAGGGTGAGGGTGTTTGTTCGTTTGATACGTTTCGCACCATTGTGCATGTTTGTCCGATACCATTGGAATTAGGCTTGAGCGAAGGGTCCCTACCTGACTTCACTGGTAGCAGAGCACGTGGTTCGCCCCGCGGGTTCCAGTGCAGGGATGGCAGCGGCGGCCGCCCCGGCGACCCTTTGGGACCTTGGCAGCCACGACCCGGGTTACAATGTGTCGTTCTCTGATGTCCAAGAGGCTTGGGACAACCTGAGCACGAAGCGGCTTGCGGAACGGTGCATCGCCGATTCCGAGAACGGATATCTCATGCATGTTATCTTTACCATCAAGGCCCCTCACGAAAGGACGAGGCTGCTTCTCCGGGCGCAGCACCACACTGGGCACCAAGACGGTTGGCGACAGTGAGACTTGCACGATGTTACTCATGAGTTGCAAACATACTGACCTTTTGATATCGGTCATCATTCGTTCATGTGCTGCGACGAGCAGCTGAAATTGTAGGAGCACGTTCGGACTTTGATCCAGCATCAAGCGAACGCTTCGGAGCACGTTACCGATATTGTCGCAGCTATGCAGTCCGCTGGAAACACGAGGGCTGGAGGAGATGGAAACAAATTCGTCAGCGAATGCAAAGCCGTTCAACAGTTACAGATGGTCTCGGGTGACAGGGCGAAAAGGGTGGAACGAGAAGTTGCTAAACGCGCTCGCCCGGGTGAAGCGCGGTTATGGCAAAACCTGGACGTATTTGAGCAACAAACTAAAAACCATGCGTGGGGCGTTACCCGGTGACGAAAAGGACGATTTGATGCAGATTATGAATGGGGGGTTGGTCCCGAACGAGTGCACTAACGCGTTTACATTCAAGAGACAAGCAGCAATGCGACTTTGCTCCAGGATAATACAAGCTCGGGGGAGACGACTACGCGAAGTTGGACGAGGATCTCTGGTACTTGTTCAGTGACAAATTTGATGGGCCGAAGACACGGGAAATCTCAAGGTTTTGCCCGACGGAGGTGGCTCAAGTGCGTGCCTGGAAGTATCTCAATTGTGTTTGGCCGTTATAGGAGTCACGCTGTCATGCAAAAGAAACCTGGACATGAAACCGGCAAAACCCAAGAAGGTTAACGACGTGGCGATACGGCCGGAACAGGGGAGTGCTCTGGTAGAGTTTTTATGACCAGTTTGGTAGTGCGTGCTCGTTACCTTTGCCGTTCAGGGCCGCTGCCTTGAGGATCATCATAGCCCGCGCATGTGATTGGTTTGGCGACTGGCAGCAGGGCCGCTTCAAGACGCCGGAATCGTTAGCAACTGGCACATACCAGAACATATTCACAAAATGTGAGGATTGGGCCAGAAATGAAAGACTGGGCGTCGACTCGAGAAAAAACGATGCAGATCGGCCAAGTTAACGATGGAGACTTCGACGGGTGGGGCACGAAAGTGACAGAGTCTGGTTATTTTGGCGAAGGTAGAAATTTGTGGACCTGGAACGAGACAGGCATGAGTGGGAACGGCGTCGCGAACGAAGTTAGCAAAGGAACAGGCGAGGGTAATTCAGGGCCGCGTTTGTTCCAGGCGCGCAAGATGTCGGCGCGTTGCGAAAGACTGCGCCACCAGGGGGGCCGCGAAATGAGACGGGGGTGGAGAAGGGGAATGCGCAGGTGCCGCAGGCAGGTGGGGGGATGCAAAGCAGGGCAGCGGGGCGCTGACGGCCAGCCAGCAGGGCGCGTCCAATAATGTTGCGCAATGGATCCGTCAGGATGTTGCCAGGGGGAACCAGTTCCTGTGTGAAGTGGTGGAGGCGTGGGAGGATTTGCGCCGATCAGAGAGGTGGGGCGTTGAACGTGTTGTGGAGAAAGGGGCGCGTCGCAGCGCGCTGCCCCCGGTCATGGGGCGGGGGGGGGCGATCGGGAGGGGCCGCGTTGCTTCTAGGGCAGCCCCGACCTGGGCTGGGATTCTACTGCGTCGAGATGGGCGAGGCCCGCGACGCAGGTGGAGTTGCCGGCCGCGCTGCGGCGCCGGGGCCGGTTGGAGGGGCGTGCGCAGGGGTGGGGGCTGCAGCGCCAGCAAACAAGGGTGGCGCAGGGGGGCGAAGTTGGGGATCAAGAGGAGGCGCGCGCCGCTCGAGCGCGGCGTTATCTGCTGCCGTGGCGCCCGCCGGGGCAACCGAATCACAGGGTGCGTCAGGGGGGGGGGGGGAGTTGGGTGCGAACATGCGCCGAACTGCAGCCGATGGAAATCGAGAGGGGCCCGGCGAGGGGGTCGACGAAGTGCCGGTCAGGGGCTGGGAGAGCGGCGCGGAGACAATAGTTGTCGCCGTGGACTCCGGGGCCCGTGACGCGGTTGGGCGTCCGAGCGCGGGGCCCCGTTTCCCCGTGAGACCCGCGGGGGCTTTTGGGGGCGGCCGGCGTTGCGGCGCAGTCGACGGGCGGGATTTAAGGGGCTGTGGGTGACGGATTACCGTGGGTAGAAGCGAAAGGGGTTTGCAGTGCTCGGGTCTGCGCGCGTCGCGACGGCGGCGGGGGATCGCGCAGTTCTGCGTCGAGGCGAGGGCGGGCGATCCCGCAGATGCCATGGGCGCGTGGCGTCGGGGCAAAAGACGACGATCCACGAGAATAGTGGAAGTTTCCAGATCGCCACCCGAGCCCCGAAAGGAGTTTTGAATCGAAAGTGGCCGAAAACGGCGGGGGGGGGCAGCGGGGGGCGGCGCTGGGATTTCCTTTGGCGGGGAACTCTCATGGCGGACTTGTTCTATTCGGTCCAGCTGAACACGTCGGTCCCAGTCGTGGCCCAGTCGCCGCGCACTTGGGGGGCGACCAGGAGGGCGGGGGCGGGGGCGATGATTCATGTGGCGTCGAGGGCGTGGTTTGTAGGGGGCGGGTCTGATGCGCCCGAGAGAACCGCGTGCGTTTTGGGCTGATGAAAGGGGAAGCCGAGCCTCGTGGCGTACTGGTATCTAC